TGCACGTAGTTAAATTTTGGTGTGATAAATCTTCTAGAAATTTGCGTGATAATAACGTTTGAATTATGTTTTTGTAATAATAATTGTTAAATTTATTAGGCTTTAAACATTCATATTTTTTTTAAACTGAAATTTTTGTGTTTTGTTTATGTATTTGTTTAGTTTTCTGTTAATAACTCAAAAACTATTTGCAATAATAACAAAATTCTTTCATAAATAAATTTATAATTAAATTCTGCATAAATTTTGTTTATATGATGTTAATCGTATTGTAACATCAAAAGTTATAAACAATTAAAATAAAATTTTATAAAAAAAAATAAAATTTTATAAAATTGTCTATAACTTTTAAACAAACATTACAACAAAAACAAGATTTTGCCATTATATGAAAAATTTAATACTTGAAACATTCCCAAAAGAATTTTTAAAATATCTTAATTAGTTTTTGAGTTATAATTAAAAAACTAAAACATTTCATCTAAAAATTCTTTCTTCTCGCGTAAGCATAGTGTGAAATAAAAGTTTAAAACTTTCCCATCGGAAAATACGCGTATACTTGTAACTGGCCACAAGAGTGACCATCGCAACCACAACAAGAACCTTCCGAATTCCCTTCTGATATTATGCATTTATACGAAGAAATGTATTACTATATGATCACTCTCGAAGATATAATTGACTCCAACTCCAACTTCAACTTCAACTTCGAGGATATTGTGGTCGTTTTGATTTCGAAACGCACCGCTTTGCCGACGGCTTCCTCACTTCTTCATACCTCAGGTTACCCATTGAACGGATATCATACCCATCTTAATATCTATAATCTTTCATCGCATGAAAGCGATCGAAAACTAAGCATTCGAAAGAATTAACGATATTAACATATAATACAATGCTACCGAAATTGATCATAACCTCAATTTGTATCCATTACAGTTACAGTACCATCGGTACCATCGGTAGCAATTTTACTCGTAACGCAAGTTTGTCTTATTGTGATTGCTGCACGTACACACGAATCAAATCAATGAGACTTGAAATCTGAGCGTTGGGATGCGACTACTGTGCGATGCAGTAGGTTGAGGTTGAGGTTATGTTGTGTTTCCCATCGGTAAACGCTGCGTTTTGCGTCATTTACGTGATTTACGTGATTTGCTACGTGGTGCATTTGTTCATAGACGATTTGCTAGCATTTTATAAATCTGATTGCAGAAATATTGAGTTAAATGGAACAAAAAATGTGTTTTCACAATTTCTAACCACAAATTTATAAATTACGTGAGAAATTGTTTAGGATTATATTTAGTGGATACTATACTTTATCCACGATACATTTTTTATGCTCATTTTTGTTAATTATTAAAGATATTAGCATACTTTTTTAAAATTCAAATTTTTGTATTTTGCTTTGTGTTTTTCTTTAGTTTTTTATAAATAACTCAAAAACTATTAAATTTAATTGCAAAATTCTTTTGAAAATGGATTGGTAAATAAATTCTTTATTTAATTATGTTAAAACATGGAAAATTGCATTGTTGCATCAAAAGTTATAAACAATTTAAATAGTTCTCTCAAAAATTTTCAAGTTAGTCACAAAATTGTTTATAACTTTTGAATGAATCATAATAACCAAGTGATTGTATAAAAAGAATTTAATACGTGAGACACTCGCGAAAGAATAATTAAAATATTTTAATTACTTTCTGAGTTATAATCAAAAAACTAAAACTTTTCTATGAAAAATTCTATCAAAAAATTTATTTTCACAATTTCTAACCAAAAACTCATAAATAACCTAAAAATCATATAAAAAAATTAATTCCGAATACTATACTTTATCCACGATATGTTTTTAACTTTTAATTAATGTAATATGACCAAATAAATTACTAAAATAAATAAACAACGTAATTAATCACTAATTAGAGCAAAATATGAGATTGTCATGAACCTAACCTCAAAACAAAGCTAGTAATTGCAATTTAACGTTAGTTACGTTGCGTAAAAGTCGTTAAACTCTCCGAACGTGATTATCACATCGCATCACACACAAAATGTTCATAATTTTGACATCGGCGCTAATTTCGTGCTATCGTTAGCGTCTCAGCCACATCGCACGAAACGCGTCCGGCTAATTGCAATAATTAATCTATTAAAAAGCGATTTATCATTTTTTCTAACACCAAACACACATACATTCACACTTCCAAACATAGAATCACCCAAAAATTGTTAAATGAATATCAGCCATCTTGTTTCTTCATTTTCTGCGTTTTTTGAGTTTTTTTGAGTGAAAAAGTGAAAAACACGATGTTTTAGGGATAACTTTACACTCGACATTCCTCTCGCATGTTCCATCGTGTTGTACGTGCCGCGCATCTCGCGAGAGAGTTCGTGTATAAAGTTGTTGGTCACTCAATTAGCCACAAATCGCTCAATATTTGATTCCGTCGGCGCGGCCGCTTTGAAGCTCGCTCGTCAGCGGCCTCCAATTAGTGAGCGGCCGTCGCTCGCGGCGATCCGGCGGCGCCTTTGATCCACACGCCAAAGAGTGGTACCTGTTCGCCTGCGCTTAGACTGTGACCCACCACCACTTCTTTTCTCCACTGCGCGTTCACAGTCGGCGGGTGTGCCGCCAATTAGAATGTGATTAACATTTTTAAAAGCGCCCTCATCATTAATAACAACCGAGTTGGAGAATAAAAATAGTAAAAATAAAAATAACCGGTTTTTCATATTAAAAAAATAACCGATAACCGGTTTTTAATTAAAAAAATAACCGAAAACCGGTTTATTATATTTTTAATGAAAAATAACTGAAAATTGATTTTTTAAAAATTTTAATTAAAAATAACCGATAACCGGTTTTTAATTTACGAAAAATAACCGAAAACCGGTTTATTTTATTTTTTATGATAAATAACTGAAAATTTATTTTTAAATATTTTAAGAAAAAATAACTGAAAACCAGTTTTTTTAATTTTCAAGGAAAATAACCGATAACCGGTTTTTTTCAAAAAAAAAAAACAAAAACCGGTATTATTTAAGTGGTAATAAAACAAGCACTGCTTGCTGCTGAAGAAGATTTTATTGCGGCAATTCGCATTGTTTGGCTTCCATTGGAACTTTTCACACTTTGTGCGGCAGATAAAAATTAACAAACCAAATTCAAAATCGTCATTTTCATTTATACGAGTTATCTGCGTGTTTGTGTGAAGTGTGTGCGGTCCTCCGTGGCTCGTTGGCCTCTCGGCCTCTGCGCCGGAGAGACCACCGTCGCGCTCCAAACACAAAACAATAACACCGCCGCCAAAGAACACGAAGAGACTCGACTTCTTCGTGCGTTAATATAAAGCTATTACTTCTTTTACTGTCTGCTACAAGAAGTAGAGGAATACTCGTAGGGTATGATATATAGATCGGTAGGTGCTGTGCCAAGACGCGTTTATTAACACTTTTAATTATCTAAGCGTCAAACGTGGAAAAGATTTTATATTATTTGGTTATTAAGAGTGCCGTTAGATCAATCAATTGTTGATGATGACGATGTGAGGCTTTCGAAACAATAATAGCAGTTAAGTGATGTTGGTTTTTTTCGATGTTGTTTACTCGTCGTGGTAATATACTAAGTACTTTGGTTTGTTCCAGTTAAAAGCAATTTAATGACACGCTGATTAATAACGACAACAATTACGGATCGTAATTGCGTGTATTATTCGCTAGTGTGAACAACTTTCTAGCAATTAACCACAGCTCAATCATATTAAATATATTATGGGACAAATCACGTAGGTTTCGGATTTTTTTGGTTTGAAAATTTTACTTTTTTGATTATTACCAGGAAATTGTAATTAGTTTAAAATTTGTGTGAGAGATATAAAGAGAATTAATTTATCTTTCTAATGATGTTTTTATCAGTTTTTTGCGATAATTATTAACGGAGTTATCGATGTTTAAATATGGAGAATTTGTGTTTTTTTTATTTTTGACGATTTTTTGTGAAGTTTTTTGTTAATAACAAATGAGTCTTAATCTTAAATAAATTTTTGAAAAGTAAATCTAATAGAGTTTAAAAAGATCTATTTTTGTGTTTAAAAATTATTGTGCTATCGTTTTTAGTTTTGGAGTTATCAATATTTTAAATGATTTTTTTTAGCAAATTTTCAATTTTTGCCGTTTTTTACCCAAGTTTTTCTTTAATAACAAATGACTAGTAATTTTTAATAAATTTTTGAAAAGCACATCTTATAGGGCTTTATAATAACTGTCCTGCACCCAAAAATTGTTTTCTTATCGTTAACAGTTTCGAAGATATAAACGTTTTTGTAATCATTTTTTGCATAATTTTGCAATTATTTACGTTTTTCTAATTTACAAAATAAGTACTAAATATAAATTTTCCTCTTTTGGCATAATTAATCTCCAATAAATCCCCTTTCCAATGATACCTCAACCAATACCCTCCGATAAAAATCACCGGACTTATAATTAATCAAAATTTCATAAATTTTAAACTCAAAAAATAAATTGAAAATTATCGCCATAAATTGAATTTTTGACTCTCCATAATTTGCATAAATCCCCGAAAAAAAATCCACTTGTCCATACTTGCGAAATGACTTATTTCACATTTCGAAACTTCTTTCATCAACTCTCCGAACGCTTACAAGAAGCATCAAAATTGCTCAATGCATGTTTGTATGCGTCTGGCACAAGAACAGCTCCAGCATCTCAGTAACTGCTCATCCACAGCAGCCAGCAAAGAACACGAACACGAACACGAGAAGAAGAAGAAGAAACCGAAGAGCAAAAAGTCGCACCTTTATGAAAGGACGCCGCGCCGCGCCGGCGTTATTCATCATGCTTTATTATTATTAACGTCGCATTAACGCGCACGCTTTTTTCGCTTTACCTTTGCACATGCCGCACATGCCGACATTTGCTCCGAATTAATCACATACATCCACATAACCTCAATTTACAACTAGTCACCATACCTGTACTCGACTCCCCAGTATTGGAATCAAAGGTCTTGCTGGTCATTTGAAACAGAGCATCTAGAGGTGTCCCACTGGGGGTAGTTTTCACCCCGGACCTCTGTTGTCCTTGTGGTTGTGATGATCTGCCTTGTTGATGATGATGATGATGATGCGCGGGTACAATATCTGGTGAGCAGCAGTCCGACGCAACGCTCGATGACCGATCACTACCCGTTTCCGACGCGTAGCTGGCATTAAACGCAGCAAACTCAGGTCTCAACAACGCCAACTGCTGGACCTTCAAATGTCTATGAAACCTTTCCAAGTTCTGCTGGGCTTCTGCATCAGGGTCCAAATCCCATGGTCGGACTATCCTCGTAGGTTGTCCCTTGGCCAAAGCAGGTCTATGGTTCAATATATCCATGATGGAGAAACTTTTCACTCCGACGGCTGCTGCAGCCGCATTATCACTTTGTTTATGTTCGTTATCATCCTCCAAGGTAGGAGATATCCGCCGGTCACGTTCCCGTTCCCTTTCGGCTTGCTCACGTTGTTCCCTTTCACGCTCCCGTTCTATATCAAGCATCTTCAGTTTCTTCAAGGGTTTGAAGTAGTCCTCGTTATCTGAATCACTTAGAGATGTCCTCCGACGTGTCACAGTGGTCTTCATTGTTGTGGGAGTTAGGGGTAAGGGACTGGGACAACCCACACTGATTTCATCATCGGATATGTATTTCTCCTGATTGTGGTCATCATCTTCTTCCAGTGGGGAGGTGCGTAGGTTATTCATGGTCATCTCCAATGGTTCGTTAAGACTACACGCGGTGAGGTTAGGACTTGATGTGCGTGATGACACCGGACTGGATTCGTACTTGATGGACACTTGATGATATGGGGACATGTCTTCAATGATGGATTGTGGTGAGATGGATCCGGTTTCTTGCATGACTATCAAGCCATTAATGTCCACGTATGGTTAGGTTCACAATTCACACACTAAATCACTCACTGGAGTCAATTTCCAATCCACTTTTGTAAACTTAAACTCGGATAGCTTGTTAGCTCGTCCAACGCACTAATCTTAGTGAGAGTCTACTCCTCGACCAGTTTGCTCTACAGCTGTACATCCCCACTACTTAACTCACAACTCCTCCCTATTTAACTCCACCAATCATGTTGGGTGTCTACCTAAGCTCCGCGGGTGTTACCCCCTCTCCTTTTAACTCTATACAACCGCAATATAAATTCCTGCTTTTGATTGGTTGAAGGTTTTTTGGGCGTTGGTTCAACTCCCGTGTCCCAAACAAGTTTGTTTCATCTCTCGCCGCACCAATGGAAGTCGAAACACTGGGGTTTGTAATCGTAGCGTCGTTTGCAACATCAAAAGCTTCCTATTAGCGGGTGACACCTCACTACACTCTTTTGTTTTACGTGCGGTGATAAATACCGGCGAGTCAAATGCGTGCACTGAATTACCAACGAATTTACAGGAACAAAGGATTCGAGGATTTTATTGAGGGTTTTATGGGCACCACTCACACCTACATAGCCACCTACATACATTTGAGAAGAGAGGTTTAAAAATTGCACGGATTGTGTAAATTATTGGGTTGGATTGTGCTTTGTTCTCGACTTTTCGCCATTTGACATTCTAATGAGTACAAATCGCGGCGTGTCGGAAATTGTGTTTGTCCCTCATTACGTTTGCTTGCTTTCTCTTCCAACGCGGGTCGATATTCGGTTGATTATAGCTTATTATCCGACATTCGCGCGAGCAAACTGCTTGGGTTTTATTTTTGCTTCTTTTATGAACTACAGAAGAAAATATAACAAGAAAGAATGAATTTTTTTTGACAGGGTGAAAGGATAAGGGTTGGAACAAGGTGTCAGGTTGATTTTTTTATTTATTTGGAGTGATTTCACAATTTTTTACAAAAAATTAAAGTGACTTAAGTCAGTTAAGTCACTTAAAGTGACTTAAGTCAGGCAGATGTTACTTAAACTAATTAAATTACTTTCTAAGAGTTTTAGACTAGTTTGTCACGTGACTATGACAAAGATAAACCTAAATTATGACGACTTTTATTATTTCATAGGTTTGGTAACCTTTTAGACCTAGAAATATGTTAATTAAGTTAATTAACATGTCATAATCATAACATTACGAATTTATCTAATATTTATTCATATTTCTCTAATTAAACACTAATCAAATTAATATTTTTTGTTTCAGGTTGGTGACTTAACTAGTGCTGCCCCCTATCAACACATTTTCAAAACTTAGGTTATGTTACTCTTCTACGGGTAAGATTAAAACATGTTACAATTGTCACTCGCCTAGTCCCCTAGTGTCACATTGATGTGGATAAAACGCGGAACGTGTTTTCCCTCGACAAACCCTCGGCAAACATCTCCAAACCGTAGCGCGACGAATCGCAACGAATTGAAACGAATAGTCGTAATTAGTATCAATGGACCTCGAATTGACTTCGAATTTCGTTTAAATTTGACATCTGTACCTAATAGGTATTCGTAGAGATATGAATGGCGGCCATTTTGTAATCAACTCAACCGATGTGATTAAATTTCGTATTGCAGGTAGTTAAAGTTAAGTTTGAAAGAAAAGTGAAAAATGTTATCCGATGAGCGATCTAAATATCGCCGACGATTATGTAGATGTACGCGCATCGCCATCTTGATATTCCAAACACCACTCACACTCGCTGTTGGTAATACTGTAATGCATTTATAATTAGTTACACAGGCGGAGTGCCCATGGTGTTGTTAAGTCTACACTCGAACAATTTACCCAACGAGAAAACCAATTTTTTGGGTAAATTATGTTCGTTTTATTTTTTTTGAAAAGTCAAAAAGTAAGATTTCATACTTTTATAGAAAAATATACAAAGTATTACATGAAATATTAAATAAAAATAATAAAAACTATAAAACACTACTGCCCTCTGGTGGAAAATAGTCTTCAAGTAAAAAAATTACAGTTTTCTGTAAAATTTTTATTAAAAATGCAGAAAACTGTAATTTTTAATCAAAATTTTTGATTTTTTTTGTTACACTTTGTATATTAATAAAAATACACGTATTTTGACTCGGGTGCGTTGCAAGATAATTATAATTTATTTATAAACGCGTTTAATGACTTTATTCGAGCAATTAGAACAAACTCCCGGACTCCCGCGCTCCACGCTCATAATACCTAATGGCTATTCAACGAGTTTGTGTTTATTATTATAATGAGATCATTATTCCCGAGAGTCACTCAGATAAAAGATAAAGACAAGCAGATTATAATTGGCACCAACCAACCAACCCACATGATGATGTAGTAAAATTTGCAAAATCAGAATTCAAACAAAAATAAAATAAAAACAAAACGAAAAAATAAAACGTTTTCGTTTCGGCTACTGAACTCGGCGCTCGCAAACACTCATTAGGGAATCATGGCTCACATTATTAGCATGTTAATTTACGATTACGATATGGGAAACTTGAGGTTAGGTTATAATTAATTTTGTTTTGGGCACTGGAAATTAAAATTAAAATTAATAATAAAAACCGGATTAAAGATAACAAATTTATGGCTTTATTAAAATGTCGTATATTTTGGTTGAGGAACAATCAAAATATACAACATTAAAGTAATTAAAACGAGAGAAGAATGATTTTATTACGTTTGCTAATGAGCGGAGGTTAAATTTGTGTTTAGTGCTGCCATCTGGTGGTTAAAAGTTTTAAAATCACTTAAAACTTGTATAAAATGGCGGAAAACATAAAATTTTCAATTGTTTAATATAAATTAAGTACGGTTACTTAAGTAAAGTAACAAAAATGGACAGAGAATGAAATTTATATCCAGTGCTGCCATCTGGTGTCAAAAAGCTTAAAAAATACTTTAAATTTCTTTTAAAATTCTTCTTGAAACAAATTATTTCAACTTTTTAATTGATATTAAGTTGTGATGACATTTAAAACCATGTTTTACATATTTTATTAGTTAATATTAGAACTTATGATCATTACTCATTAAAAAATCATTCATTAATAATGTCGAGTACACTGCATTGCAGCCGGTTATGTGTCAGTGTCAGTGTCAATGTACAAAATGAGTAATGTGAGTAATTGATTTCAATGCCCCAACCGCATGGCGTATGTGGCGCAGGGAGGTAAACGGTAATTATGTAATTCATGTCACTCTTGTCAGTGACACAGTGAAATGTGAGAATGGAGGAAATGATGGTGGTGTCGAAGGGGCAAACAAATTGAAAAATTAAAATATGGACTGCTAGGGGTTGTAATTAAGTTGTAATAGAGTTTTGAATTATATGTGGGGTGAATGAGAGTCAGTTTTTGTAATTTAGATTTTCAGCTGACTTTTCAAGATGGTGGCGTAGGTAAAATGAGTTACAGCGCCATCAGTGGTAGGTTTTTGAAGTTTTATTGCGTTTTTTAGAAAAACAACTCTTAAAAGTTAAAATTTTATGATTTTTGTGGTAAAAAATAGTAAAATTTTACTTTTTTCAATATTTATCTTAATTTCTGATAGAAAAAACACAAAATTTCTATCAAATTAAATTATTAAGTAACTTTTTCATAATTTAGATATTCAGCTGACTTTTCAAGATGGCTACCCGAAAATCAGCTTACAGCGCCATCACTAGCAGTTTTTGAAAGTAATTTTTTAATTCTAGCGTTTTGTGTGAGGTCTATCGACCACCAAAGGTGTTATAAACCGATTATGATTAGAAACCAAACCGCAAACCGCCTTTCACCGTTTTTTCACCCCCCTGGCACTAATTTACCCTAATATTTCCTATCTTTTATTTCTTTTCAACTTTCTACTTGTATTACTAAACTTACTAGCTTCCTGAATGATTTAATACCTTTAATATTTCATCCCTTTTAGATTCTATTTAATTTTTTGTGATCAACCACAAAATATTAGTGTTCGTCGGTGTCCAGATGCTGACGCTTCAAGGGGTGTCACCTCAAGGTGTGTGTTCGATTACTAATGCCTTTTCTCATAATCAAAAACCACCCTTTTGGGTTGTGGCCGACGGGCTTAACTTTTATACTTAATGTATTTAGGTATAGATACATTTGTATTTTGTATAATTGAGACGTGCAACAGACGGACACAGAATTGAAATAAAAAATGTGTTATTGCTTTATAATCTTTATCATCTCTATAGGTAATAGAATATTTAAACATATAAATACAGGAAGGAGGAATGGGGAAATATAATGAAGATGTAACAGATGAATGTCGGATACCTAAATCTAAAATCATTAGTATAGGGGTGAAAATGTTGGAAAATGGTGGTTTTTGGGAAGTATGGGGGCAAATTATTAATATATTTGATAAAATTAGCTCTTAAAAATAAAAATTTGACAATTTTCTTTCCAAAAACAGCAAAATTTTACGATTTTTCTAGTTTTAAAGCAATTTTAATGGCAAAAATCACAAAATCTTTTAAAAAAAGTTGAAAATATTAGAAAACTGAAGTTTTATATTAGCTTGGGGGTATATTATGAATAAATTAGGTAAAAACAACCCTTAAAACTAAAAATTCTGCAATTTTTGCCAAAAAACAGTAAAATTTTACTTTTTTCGTATATTTACCTTACTTTTTAATACAAAAAGCCACAAAACCTCCATAAAATCAATCAATTGATTAATTTTTGACCACACGCATTTCACCACAATAAAATTCCACTTACCAATTGTACAAAAATGAACGGAAAATCAACAAAACCAAACTAAAACCAATAGAAACACTCTATGTTCCACACCAATCGATTTCTTTTGTATCCAATCGATTAACTATAGTGTATAAATCAATAAATAAATTATCCACAAGCATCACTTCAAATATATACCTACCGCCATTACTTTTATTGTGTCAAATTGCGTTTTTATCTTGAATCGTCGATCGAAATTATTACCTGCCTAAAATAACAAATTCGGTTAGAATTGGAAATAAGTAATCAAGTCATAACCCTACTTTCTGTAGGTATATTACTTTTACTATTACTAAAATTACGAATCTTAAATGTTAAATGTTAAGCTATACTTACACCGGAGG